GCCATTTTGTAATAAACCTAAAATCTTTACCTGTATTTTGCACTTTAATAATTTTGTTCAGAAATCAAATTGATTGATTTAAAGAAAACTGAATCTTTTCTTTTCTCCTGCATTTTAAAAAAAACAACAACAACAAAAAACACTTCTCCGACACTTTGAAAATTACAATTTAAAGCTCATGCTCAAGTTAAAAAAAATCATGTTTTAAGATGTAATTGTTTAAAGATACCGATATTATTTATATTCGAAAATTTCATTACTATTTTATATTTTTACAGATTTATTAAAGTATTAAAAACATTCTGAGCGAGTTGTTTCAGATATTTTCAGCATAAGGCTTATGCAAGAAATCATTTTCTTATTTTTACACTACTGGCCATTAAAATTGCTACACCAGGAAGGAATGGAAATAACAGAATGATATTTATTGGGCACATATATTATAGTTAGAAGAACAAGTGATTAAATTTTCATGATATTTGGATGTATAGATCCTGAGGAATCAGTCCTCAGAGCAACCTCCCCTGGCAGCAATAACAGCAGTTAAACATGTTCTGCGTCAATGAAGGTCAGGACAGTGCGGGCCACACACACACGGTCGTGCCTTGTCCTTCTGAAAGTAGCGTTTTGGAGACCTCAAAGATAAGGTAGAGCAAACTAGCCCTAACACATCAGAAATGTAACAGCTGCTGTTGTGCTTACAATGCGAGCAAGAGATCACCCCATAGCCAGGTGATGGGCCAGTATGACGATGTCGACTGCATGCTGCCAATGGGCGTTCTCCACGATGTCGCCAAACGAGGATGCGGCCATCATGATGCTGTATACAGAACATGGATTCGTCTGGAAAGACGACGTGATGTCAATCCTGTGTCCAGGTTTGACGGCGATCACACCATATGATGCGCGTCAAGGATAACCGAACTGACAGTCCATACTGCTGCAAATGTCGTCAAATTGTTCGTGCAGACACTTGTTGTCTTGCAAATGATCCCATTTCTTGACTCTGGGTTCGTGACGTAGCTGTACGATCCCTTAAGACCGTGTGGATAACGTGTGTCTTCTCGGCAGTAAGAGATGGGGGAGGGGGGCACTGAGATCCTGCACGTCGTTCCATATGACCGTCATGAACTCATCGATCCCATATTCTGCTAACAGTCATGGGATCTCGACCAACGCGAGTCCAATACTTCAGTATAATAAACCGCAATCCCGGTAGGCCACAATTTGACCTCGATCAAACTCAGGAACGTGCGGGTAGGCATTTTTCCTTCTTTTTTATTCAAGAACAACGCTCAAATTCATTCCTGTATGGGAAACTTACTGCCAAATATCTTCTTTTATAAACATTGTAGGTGTCGCTACCACTGCCAGCTTTGCATGAATGCGCTGATAAGTTAATCACTTGCATACCACAACATGCTTCATCAGTCCTGCAAATTTCACGTTCAAGGTGTGTTCCTATCTTGGTGTAGCAAATTTAATAGCAAATAGTGTAGTAGTAGGGGTTTTTTTTTTTTTCGTATTTTGAAAAAATCTTTTTCCCTGAAAGTACTCTTTTTATAAACTAATGACCATGCTAAATTTAAAATTTTGAAATGTGAGATATTCATTAAAAGCTATGTTACCAAGTAAACTTTTTAAGAGTATTTTGACCAATTCCAACTAAGAAAACCCTGTAATGATATAACTGTTACAGTGTTAAAATGAATTCTTAAATAGTTTTTTTGTTTTTTTTTGCCATTTATTTCCTATTCATGAGAATCCCCGCAATTACAACAATCATTGCGCAGCATAGCACTTCACTAAATTTTACCTCATGCATTTAGAGTTTGTGGGTATAAGTTGAATTGATTCAGAAAATTATAAGAAACCCTAAATTATTATTTAACACTGAAGCAAGTATTCCCAATTACTAAATTTTATGTTCTTAATTCTATATATAAATGAGCATATAATTATGTTTTAATAATATAACAAGAAACTAAAAATAGTATGGTTAACACTTTAAAGATCTTTACCAGTCATCAAATTGTAGTCTTTAAAATGTAGAACTCCGGACTATTAGAACAAATAATTTTAAATTGGAAACGCTTTTTTTAAAAAAATATAAGAAATGTCGTATCCTACTTATAGCCTAGTGCTATGATATTGTATATAGTCATGGCTATTTTTTGCTAGTTTTCGTTCAATTCTACATTTCCTTAATATNTCCGCCGGTGGCAACGTTTGCTTTGTTTTGAAAACACCAAAGCATTCTGCCTTTTAATGATGTGTTTCTGATCTAATATATATAATTCTCTTACGTGGCTCCCAAATTTTGGCTGAAGTACTTTGTACAACTAAATAAGATTCTTTTCACAACAGTTAAATATTTACTTTATTTTCTTCATTCATAGAGAAAACAGTCGGCAAAGAATTCTGTTAGGTTAAAAAACATTTCTCTAAAAAAATAACGAATTTTAAAAGAAATAAAAATAAACAACTTAAAAAATAAAAATGCTGTTGCAAGCCATAGATTTTTTTAAAGTTAACTTAGCAACACAAATCAAAATGACATAGAAGCGCGACTAGATCAAAATTAAGATACCTGAACGCTTGACGTAACAAATCCTTTCATTCTATAAGTATTGTATTGCCAAATGCCCAAATTAACAATTGTGTTTTTAAAGAAATTCTCTCTCTCTCTACTATTCAGACTACTATTTCATAAGTTTTACAACACATGGCTTTATCACTCTGGTGGGAAAGACTTTAAAACAAAACTTACAATAGTTACTTTTCTCAACAACTAAAATTTAGAATAGTGTGATTAAGAAAAATATGTGAACTGTTTGCAATTTCAAATTAATATTGAAATGTACAGGTTTAGAATTTTCTACAGTGAAAAATTTTCGGAACTTCAGTATTCAAAAAAGTATACAAAAGCTAGACGTTAAGAACGTATCCAATGAGCGAGCAAAACGAGCATTGGATTGCGAAGCAATCCGAAAAGAACTGCAAAAGCAATTCCGGGGGTTGGCGAGCGTGAGGGAGCAGGGGGCGAAGCCTCCTAGTATATAATAATAACATTATTTAAAATATATAATAAAAATTATTAAGGATGTAACGAATATTCGGCCATTATTTGGTATTCAGCCCTTTTGCCATATACTGCGGTTATTCGGCTGAATATGATTATTATTAGATATTTGGCTGAATAAATTCATGATAATAAAGAAAGATATTTTTTTAAATGTGTTTTTAAATATATTTAATCATGAATATTGCCTAGTTACATTTCACTGCATTAATTATTAGAAAATCTAGCATTTACTCACATTAGATATTTTAGATCATTATTTAGATATTTAAAATATTAAAAAAATACATCAAGTTGTAAATTTTTTTTTAAAATATAGAAAGTTTAAATAGCAAATTTGTTAATATTTATTTCATTTTTAATTTAAAATTTGAAAATTATTTAATTACAAAATTAAAATTTCAAAAGTGAAAATTTTTAAAAAGTTCTTAATTTTCTGGGTTTTAATAATTTTTCTAACAAAAAAGAAAGTTAAGAATACATTTAACAGTAGTAATGAGTTCTTACTTTAAATAAAATAGCATATAAATTACAAGTATAACTATAGCTAAAATATGCTATTATTAATTATTTAGATTTATAAAAGCCATACAGTCGAATCCCGTTTTTGCGAAATTCGAAATAGCAAAAATCTCAAAGTAACGAATATTTTCCGAATCCCCAAATGTATTTCCATGTGAACAATGTATAAAAAATACCGATATCACGAAATCAATTATCCGATTTAGGGAAGGCGAAAATGAACACCAGGTCTTATTTTCTTTGATGAACAAGACACATTTCTTCAAAAATGTTCTCAGAAATGAACTGTTTTATCACCCTTAAAATACTAATAAGTTTCAAATGTGAAAAACCTGTCAAAAAAAGAAGAATCACTGGAAAGAGACCACCCTGAGTTGACCCTTGCATTGATTCATTCATGTTTTAAGAAGTCAAAATACACATGCTTTTAAAAGAGGGAATTCTATTCAATAGAAAGGGCTTGTCAAGAATGATAGATTAGAAGTGGCCACCCTTAGCAGAACAATTCCTTCCTTGAATTACAACAGACTAAATAGGGGGGGGNAAGGGGGGGGGGGGGAGCTGTTCTAAGAATTCAAGGTGTAAAAGGGGTGTAAACAAGTTTCAGAAAATTTCCAGAGTGGTGTGCAACTTCAATAGGAGAAGGTTAGTTAAATCAGTTTGCCTGCTTTCAACGTTTGCAAGCATTTTGTTTTCCTTCTTAAGCATAATGAGTGGTCAAAAGAGTAAACAATTTTTTATTAAGGAAAAACTGGAAATTATTTCAGAAGTTGATCATGGGATATAAAAAGCTGACGTTGCGACAAAGTATGGACTATCCTCATCTACTCTATCTACTTTTTTAAAAAATCGAACGAAGTTGGAACAGCAAGTGCAATCAGCATTGATTGGATCACATAGAAAAAAGATACGACTTTCAAATTTTNTGCGCGAATTAATATTCGAAGATTTTCGCGAGAAAATTTGAAACCCGACTTGGCGAATGTAAGATTGGCGAATTTCAAAATACGGTGTCAAAGAAGTGCCCGGGAGTCGACAATGTGTAAAGTCGCTTCCGGGCCCCTCTGAAAAGGCTTTAGAATTTGCAAGAACTTTTGGAAACGAAGATTTTCAAGCAAGTGTTGGTTGGTTGAATCGATTCAAGGAAAGTTATGGTATTGTTGCAAAGCAAATTTGTGGTAAAGCTAACTCTGTTGATTTAAAAGCTGTGAATGACTGGAAATCAAAAAAAATATCGGATGCAATTAGGTCTTATGATCCTTCTGATGTTTTCAACGCAGGCGAAGCGGGAATTTTTTTCCAGTTGTTACCAAACAAAACCTTGGCGTTTAAAAAGGATAAATGCATTGGAGGCAAAAATTCAAAATTGCGTTTAACTGCTTTGTTTTGCTGCAATATGTCAGGCACTGAAAAGAGAAAGGTTATGGTTATCGGCAAATCTGCGAAACCTAGGTGCCTAAAAAATGTAAATTCACTACCTTGTGATTATAGATCTAGCCACAAAGCGTGGATGACGACTGGAATATTTAATGAGTGGTTGGTTAAGTTTGATGAAGATATGAAACGTAAGAAAAGAAAAATTCTGCTCCTTATTGATAATTGTTCACCCCACAATGAGCCACCAAAACTGGAATGTATTCACATCGAATACTTTCCTCCTAATTGTACGTCAATTTTACAACCTCTGGACCAGTGTATAATTAAAGTGGTAAAGGGAAAGTATCGAACACAACTTCTGATGCGTATGCTTGTGCAAATCAAAAACAAAGAAGCAATTACAAAACCAGATGTAAAGCAAGCAATGGATATGATTGATGGAGCATGGAAAGACATTAGCCAAAAAGTCATCTGTAATGGATGGAAGAAAGCAAATTTAATTTCAGCAATTGGCAATGGAACAGTTGATGAAATTTATGATGTTATCATCGATTTGCAGCCTTTATTGGATCATGTGACAAAAGAAACATCAGTGCCAAACGAAGTCAGTCATGGGGATTTTCTGACTGCAGATGATGATGCTAGAACATGCGAAGCATTGACAGACAATGATATTGTACGTATGATTCAAGAAAACAAACAAATCACTTTCGGACAGCAGCGATGATGAAGAATGTCCAGAAGAAAACAATGTACCTACAGCTTCACAAGCCTTGGCCAATTTGGAAGCTGTAAAGAGATATTTATCGGCAAAAAAAAAACTTTTCAGATACTTTGTTTGAACATGTGCATAATTTGGAAAATTTTTTAATTTCTACTGGTTCTAAATAATTTGTTCAGAAAAAAATTACTGATTATGTATCTGGCTAATTAGCAAGTGTTAATAAATTCATTGTTTACATTAGTTTTGTGCGCTCTTTTAATATTACATTGATATTTTCCCAAATCTAGATTAAAAATATAATATCAAAACTGTTAATTGATTTTTCATACAAATAGTAATCCCAATGTAACAAAATAATATTTGTTAATGTTGAAAATTCGTAATAACGGTGAAACGAATTTTCATTAGTGTGTAGAAATAGCTTCGGTACCATGGAATTCGCTAAAACGGGATCCAACTGTATTGCCTTGTTATTGGCATCAAGATATTTAAATTATTACAAAAAATAAATCAAGTTCTTAAAATTTTTTCAAATATACAAAGATTAAAAAAGCAATTTTTATAATATTTATTTCATTTTTAAATCAAAATTTGAAAATTACTTTAATTACAATCAGAAGAGAAATTTTTAAAAAGTAAGTATTCGGCCTAAAATTTGGCCGAATATTTGGTATTCGGCCCCATCACTATTCGTTACATCACTAAAAATTATGCTGAAATAAATATTACGTAATCAATACAAATCTTGATAAGAGGTAACATTTTAACTACACAATAATCTGCATCAAATAACTTTAATAACCATTTAGAATTTTATAACTATCAAATAGTCAGCTGAGTATTTGGAAAAAATAGAATCATTTGGGAGAGATTGATTGCTTAATATTATATGAAGTTAAAATGCCATCTTTAATTAACATTTTTTTAAATATAAGGCCTGGTTACTTTATGACATCTGGTGCATATACAACTGATATATTTTTATTTACAATTACTTAAAAAATAAAATTTTTAAATTGATGATTTTTTTAAAAGTTTTGGAATATTTGTTCATATTGTGACATTTGCCTTCAAAATAATCGTTATGTTATTCATCATATCTCTGAAGGTAAATTTCTCTATCATCGGCAGAGGCAGCACAATAATAGTCGTTTCTAGCTTATTTTGAACAGTAGGAATGCATTGATTTATGCCTATCTGAGCTGAGAAGTTTATTTTATACAATTTCATTTTTAAGTTTTTAGAAAAAAGGAAAATTTTTCTCAATGGTTTAAGTTATTGATAATATGTTATGTTATTAATAATATGTTAACTATTAAAAATTTGAATAAGCAAAAGAATGATGTAGCATAATCCTCTTGATCCTTGTTAAGAATAAAAGAATTTTTAATTGAATTTTAGTAATATTTCTATGCTTGCGTGCAGCTTTTCAATATCCATAATAATAAAATATCTAAATTCATAATTATAATACTTAGTTCCTTTTGCTCATTTATGCAACTCAGTTAGAAAACAAAACTTAACATCTTTTTCATTTGTCCAGTAAAAGAGTTATTCAAATTTAATTACTCAATGCAATCTATTTTTAATTCTTTCATAGAAAAATTGTTTTAAAAATAGCAGAGAAAATTGAAAGCAATCACAGTTAATAAAGCTGTAAATCTAACAAGGAGTGCAAGTTAACAGTGAGTTAAGAAACCCCCAGTTAAGAAAGAGAGTGTCCAAAAAGAATGAAAAATACAATTTTTGAATCGTGGTCAACATTTCGAAACCGGGGTTTCGACACTGGGTGTTTCACGTAAGGTCAGTGTCAACGGTGAACACAGGGTTAAGAATTAACTACAAGAATCAGGTTTCTCACCAGTGTGAACATGACTGTGTTTAGTCAGATTACTTTTCTGCGAAAAACTCTCGTTGTATATACTACAAGAATAAGGTTTCTCACCAGTGTGAACACGACAATGATTATTCAGATTACTTCTTTGCGAAAAACTCTCGTTGCATATACTACAAGAATAAGGTTTCTCGCCAGCGTGAACACAACTGTGATTATTCAGATTACTTTTTTGCGAAAAACTCTCGTTGCATATACTACAAGAATAAGGTTTCTCACCAGTGTGAACACGACTGTGTACAGTTAGTTGACTTTTTTGCGAAAAACTTTTGTTGCATATACTACAAGAATGAGGTTTCTCACCAGTGTGAACACGACTATGTTTAGTCAAATCACTTTTTTGCGAAAAACTCTTATTGCATATACTACAAGAATAAGGTTTCTCACCAGTGTGAACACGACTATGATTATTCAGATAAATTTTTTGCGAAAAACTCTCATTGCATATACAACAAGAATAAGGTTTCTCACCAGTGTGAGCACGACTGTGTACAGTTAGAGACATTTTTTGCGAAAAACTCTTGTTGCACATACTACAAGAATATGGTTTCTCACCAGTGTGAACACGACTGTGTTCAGTCAATTGACTTTTTTGCGAAAAACTCTTGTTGCATATAGTACAAGAATAAGGCTTCTCACCAGTGTGAACACGACTGTGTACAGTTAGAGAGAGTTTTTGTGAAAAACTTTTGTTGCAGATACTACAAGAATAAGGTTTCTCACCAGTGTGAACACGACTGTGTTTAGTCAGATGACTTTTTTGCGAAAAACTCTTCTTGCATATACTACAAGAATAAGGTTTCTCACCAGTGTGAACACGACTGTGTTCAGTTAGACGACATTTTTTCAAAAAACTTTTGTTGCATATACTACAAAAATAAGGTTTCTCACCAATGTGAGCAAGACCCTGTTCAGTTAGANTGAGAAACTCATATTACATAAAAAACAAGAATAAGGTTTCTCAACAGTGTGAACACAACTCTTCTTAGTCAGATGACTTTTGCATGAAAAAATTCTTATTATATACTAGAATAAGGTTTCTCACCAGTGTGAACACGATAGTGTTTAGTTACATTACTTTTTTGTGAAAAACTCCTATTACATAACTACAAGAGTAATGTTTCTCAGCAGTATGAACAAAACTTCTATGGGGAAAAGTCTTGTTATATATACCACAAGAATAAGATTTCACTCTTGTAGGAACACAACTATCCTTAGTCAGATAACTTTTAGGGGATATTTCCGTATCGCTATCTGTGACTCCCACTAGATTCGCCAAGGCGAGATTCAACTGAGGTCCTCTATTTAATACCAATAATTATATTTCTCCATTCATTGCCGATGTATTTTCGACAATCATTGTGGAAGTACTTAGAGCACATAAACTAAAATCAATTAATATATTTCGCACATATTGAAGCAAGATTTACTATTTAACATGATACACAAATTATTTCGAGCACATTTTTCTTGATTCAGATTTCCTAACTCATATAAGTTCGGATTATAGAAGCTCGGATTGTTTGGAATCATTGGAATGAAGGATTGACAAACGCATGGGTGTAGTATAGTGAGACGAGATCTTTGCTTAAGCTTATAGCTTTCTGATCCCATTAATAAGGCTCTGGCTTAAGCTAGAGAGACAGCAAATACCAACACTTTCCATGAAAGAAGAAGGAAGTTTGCTTTTCTGTAGATATAAGGAACAGAAGGTCCCATCTTCCCGATGGCAACGAAAAATTCGATTTTCAAGGTTACTCTACTATTTTTGTGGTTTATCTTATTATTGGCATCTAAAAAAAATTTACAACCATATTTTTATTGTATTTTGTAGATTTTCGCCTAAGATTAAAAGGAAGTGAAGGTCTTCTTTTATGTGGTGGCAACGATTAAAAGGTTACTATTTTAATTCTCGTGGCTACATTATTTGCTGTTTTAGTCGCCAGTCTTGGCTCCATTGTAGTGTAGCAGTTCATTGTTGCACGTGTTCTATTCGCTATTGATAAACATTGATTTTATTAATTTGTATAGCCTAGTAAATCTCTTATGGTAAGTTTATCTATTTATATAAGTTTTGATTTTAAAAAATATTCAATTTTTATGCTATCTTTGAATATTGCATCGCGTGTTAAATCTTATATTTATAATTATTATAATCGCTCAATTATTGATATAGTTAAGTGTTTTTTTTTTCTTCCTATGCACGTGTAAATGTTGAATAAACAACGCTTGGCAAACAAAAATATAGACGGCATTC